AGCTCCGAAGTCTACCAGGATTCGTGCACGTTGGCGGTCGACCGCGACGGTCGACCGCCAGACTTTCTGGCTTCTTCTACGTGCAGATTCTCCTATTTCCTGTAACTCTTCAATTCTCCACCTCGGCGAATGTTTCCACCAAAACTGAGCCGACACCAATCAAACCAATGCCTCAACTGCTGCATCCAGTACGTCATGGCAACGGACTCATGACAACGGACCCCATCCACAACATATCGAGACCCAAACGGGAGTGCGAACACTCAACCCCAAACCAACTATGTCTACTCACCAAATCGACTGAGCCTACATCGACTACACCAAATGCCTCACTTGCTAAGACCCAAATGGGAGTGCAAACACTCACCCCAAATGTCGATGTCGCTCACCAAATCGGCTGCATCATAAAGACTGCCTACGTATCCTCTTGCCCAAGGAATCAAGCCTTCACGTAGTTCACCCAATGGCCTCCAAAGGCCCTCAATCCAAACTGCGGCTGATAGCATCATCAACGACCCCAAACTGAAGCAATCCAAACACCTCCACCTGAGATGTAACAATGGCTGTATCCAAAACATATCCACCAGCTGCATCCAAATCAATCACCTCATCATCTGCACCCATAGACAAATGACTCCCACGCTGTGCCACCTCAGCTGGAATCCCAACCAATGCAGAATGGCCTGGAGTATGTGGGGAAATCCCCACCCAATGTGGAGTAGCATCAACCTCCACCCGCTGTGGTATCCCTCTAATCTCATCAATACTCTCTACCTGCCGAGAGTCCAAAATGACAAACCTGCACAGACCAAACTCAGAAGCTCCCCACTGATAGCCGAATGAGCCTCTGAATCCCAAATGCCCAATCGGATTCAATCTCACATCCACGATGTGGCCAAGTGTTGGGTAGCCAAATATCCGACGCCAACCAAAAACTGAAGCAGCTCCACCAGATCTAACAACTCTATACGCAGCAGTTGGCAACCTCATAAGATGACCCAAACCTGTCGAAGCCTGAATACCAGATCCACTGCTCGATACCCAATGCCGATCCTCCTCCAGAAAAGAACGGCTCACTAAATCCGCCATCTCATCACGTCGCCCCACTGTCTCCTTCCCTCTGAAGTGTCTCCAACTGCCGTGAGCTCGGCACCAATGCAAGAAAGGACTCCTACTAGAATAAGTACGACTGGTAACCTTTCTGCCCATACACCTCCTCCAACTGTTGCGAACTACTAGGGCTTTATACCAACGGGACTTGGTTGCAACCCAAATATGCCTAGTACAATCCCCAATATAGGAAACAAAATAACGATTACCTCCCGATGATGCCTCCTCTAAAAGCCCCCCAATGTCTGACTGAACACCTCCAATAAGACCCCTCGATCGATGGATAGAAGTGCTGAACTCCACCTCGGTCTTCTCGCTCATCCCAATGTGCTCGCAGGACTTCAATCTGTAGGTTATAGCACTCCTCAACAGTCTGTGCACGGCACAACCAATAATATATCCCAGCACCAAACAATGTCATAGTCTAGCCATAGAAGTAGTCAGCGCCCTATCAACTACCGTGCTCCCAAGCAGATAATACAAGTTATTCCGTCTGACTCCCTTCATCACAATCATGGACCCCGATGTGACCTTCAAGCGAGAATCTGCCAAGGTCACCCTATAGCCTGATGCCTCCAATACCCCAAGTAAAATGATGTTCTTCCTCATTTGAGGAACGAACCTCACATCAGCCAACTCCCGGATCATCCTGTCACTCATCCGAATCTGTACGGTACCAATACCACCAATAGGGCATCTGTGATCATTACCCATGAGAACAGCATCCCCTCTTTCCAACTCCTAAAAGCTGGAGAACCAATCCCTTCTAGGACATATGTGGTAAGTAGCACCAGAATCCAACATCCACTCAGTGGAGTCGGCAACATTAACTGACGGAAGAGCTGGACACGAATAGCCTGAAGAATCTGAATCTGAAACATCGCCACTAGCCTTGGCAACATTCACCTCTAAAGCTTGAATAGCTTTCCCCTTATTCTTCACGGCTTGCAATTTTGGGCATTCGGCTTTTCAATGTTCATCTTCTCT